CGCTGCAACGCTCTTCTTGGCTGAGATCGCTAGACACCTCAGTCTGCAGCTCTGCACCCAACAGGGTAGGGGGTGGTGAGGGAGCTTTGACAGGGTATTAGTAATTTTAGTAATTTAGCACAGAGGAGGGATTATCTGTTTATGTATGGGAGTGTAATAAAACAACCAACACCAGGGGAAATTAAGCAACGTGCTCAGTGTTATCATGAAAACCTGGAATGTCAGCTGCCCTTGGGGACTAACGTTATACACCCTTACAATGGAAAGAATGACTAATGGAACTTCATCTCTGTCTCTTTAACTCATGTAACTATTCCCTGTTGACACTTACCCCACTTCACAGTGAGTGTCTCTGTCAGGCTGCTGTGCACTACATAGCATGCGTATCCCTCCTTCTCCCTTGCTGGTACCTTCACCGTGATCCTGATCTGATAAGTACCGTCAGTATTGGGGAGGATTTGTTTGGCCTCATCCAAAGGAATCTCTATCCCGTTTCTCTTCCAAGTCACATCAATGTCTTGAGGGTAAAACCCGTACACCTGGCAGTGAAGCTTTGTGAATCCATATGATTGCTGACTTAAAATAATAACCTGTGGGGGATCTGGGATGAGAGAGAAGTCATTTTAAAAAGTTGTCTGCTAAACATATAAATCACGTTACACTTAACAGATATGCGGATACTTCTGGTACTTTATGTATTATATCACTTTATACACTGATCAGACAAAACATTAAAACCACTGATAACTGAAGTGATTAACATTAATTTTATCATTACAATGGTACCTTTCAAGAGGTGAGATATATTAGGCAGCAAGTGAACAGTCAGTTCTTTAATTTCATGTGTCGAAAGCAGGAAAAAAGGACCAAATAGTGATGACTAGACTACTGGGTCAGAGAATCTCCATGATGGAAAGTCTTGTGGGGTGTTCCCAGTATGTAGTGGTTAGTACATACTGTGACAGATTTCCTGTCCCTGGATTTAAAAAGCTTTCTGTTCCATTTGCCTGTTTGTTCGGTAGATTGCATTCCCCTCCTATTCTAACATTGTCCCGTTCGACTACGAAACAACCGCACGAACCAAGGACCACCCTGCAGCTTGTTAACACGGCGGTGGCTAAGGGGCTACGGTGCTTACGGTGTCCAGTGCGGTGTTTATGGTACTCAAGGCTTACTAGGAAGCATCGATTGGCAGAGGTACCCAGTGTCAGTGTCCCTATGTCGCCCAGTGCCCTAGTCTCCCAGTGTCTGTGTCCCCATTTCTCCCAGTTTCCCCATTTCTCAGTGTGTCCCATGTCACTAGGATACTAGGTTACACTGAGACATGGGGACACAGAGACCTGGGGACACTGAGACACATGGGGGCACTGAGACATATGGGGGCACTGGGAGACATGGGGGCTCTTGTGGATACAGACATGGGGACACTGGGAGACATGGAGACACTGGGAGACATAGGGACACTGAGACATTTGGGGACAGTGGGAGAAATGGGGGTCACAGACACTAGGGACACAGATACATGGGGACACAGATACTGGGAGACATGGGGACACAGACACTAGGGACACTGGCTGGGAGGCATGGGGACACAGACACTTAGGGACACTGGGAGACATGGGAGCACTTGTGGACATAGACATGGGGACACTGGGAGACACGGGGACACTGAGACACTAGGGACACTGGCTGAGAGACATAGGGACACTGGGAGACATGGGGATACAGACATCTGGTTACACTCTGAGACATGGGGACACTGAGAGACATGGGGACACAGACACTGGGAGACTAGGGGACACTGGGAAACATGGGGACACTGATACACTAGGGACACTGGCTGAGAGACATAGGGACACTGGGGGACACTGGGAGACATGGGGATACAGACATCTGGTTACACTCTGAGACATGGGGAAACTGAGAGACATGGGGACACAGACACTGGGAGACTAGGGGACACTGGGAAACATGGGGACACTGATACACTGGCTGGGAGACATGGGGACACTGTGTCCCTAGTGTCTCCATGTCCCAATGTGTCTCCCTATGTCTCATAGCATCCCCGTGTGTCTCAGCGTCCCCATGTCTCACAGTGCTCCTAGTGTCTCATTGTACCCATGTTTCCCAGTGTCCCCAAGTGTCTCAGTGTCCCCACGTCTCCCAGTGTCCCCATGTGTCCCCTTGTGTCTCAGTGTCCCCATGTCTCCCTGCTGCCTTTACCCCATCCTTCACATACCTGAGCTGTAGTCTGTCTCTGCAGGCTGGGAGCTGCTGTCTGGACTCTCTGTGCTGTGTAGCTGCTCCCCCGCAGATCATTGAGTAGAGAGAGGCAGGTAGATGCTGTAACTTCCTATCCTTGCCTCTCTCCATACACAGTGACCCCAACTGGCCGGTGCTGGTATTGCAGCCTTAAAATACCAGTCAGGTGGTAGACCTAAGAGTAGAGTGTAAAAAAAGCTCCATCAGCCCCTATGTTAATCCGGCCCTGCCTATATGATGCTAGGCAGGTAGGTTTAATGTTGTGGCTGATCAGTGTATTGTTACTCTCTATTATATATATAATAACTTATCAAAGTGTATACAGCCAGTGTGAGGACCTGTCTTAAATAACAGTTGCTGCTGTGACAGAGTTAATGGGAAGAGACTTCCAACCACTACCTCTTCAAAGTTGCGTCCCATATGTAACTGCCCGTAGAAATTGTTTGAACTTTTCAAACATGTTACATTTTGAAAGAGAGGTAATATCTACGTTAAATAAAATGTTTCTCCAGCAAGGTATAGCAAAGCTATAATGAATATTATAATATATAATATAATATTTCTTGGCAAAATGTGCTGCTTCAAATTCCAAATCTTGACATTTGCCATCGCCAGCCGAGTACACAGTACTGTGTATTGTGTAATGTGTATATACTGGGGTGTATATATAGAAGAAAGTATAGTACAGGTAGTATACTCTGTGCTCACTTCTCCTGTCCAGTTCCTCCTTGCCATGTTCAATATATTTCTTCAGCCATTCAATACACTCAGTCTGCAGGTAATACTTGGCTCTCTCCACTCCTTGGACCTCTGGACTGTTCCATCTATAAGCACTGAGCTGAGCCTGGTCTGTGAGTGGAATGTAAATCCCATGTTGCATATCCAGAGCCAGGAACCCCTTCCCGTCATAGCTGTACTGCCAATATCCCCTGGTGCTGCCATCATCCCTCAGCTCACAGCCGTACATCGCCTGGAATGTGTGAAAACCTGCAACGAGCACAGTAACATATCACTTTGGAGCAAATAGCAAGCAATATAGTGAATGTGCATCCAATACGGCAGAAGTGAGAGTCTCACCGGGTATCATTAGGACAGTGGTGGACTTATCATGGGACATATAATGGATAATATGGACTCCGGGGGCCATATTTGATCAGAAACACATATAGAGATATAAAACAAAGCTGTAAGGAGTTTAGGGTGACTATGTTGGCATGTTCCCTGAACCCCTGGTGCCTGGCATTATTTTCACAAAAGTGGGGATAGATTTGTGTTCTCAGAATGAGACAATGGGCATCTAACACAGAGCCAAATCCATCACTTTGAGGTGCAGACAGGAGTTGCTCCCCCATTTGATAATGGATGACAATTTCCTATTTACAATAGAAAAACATAACAGTATTTATTCTGATTTTCAGTCCTTTTATCCATCTGGCCAAAATAATTTATTTTGGAAATTCAGCACAGTACTTTTTATTATTATTATTATTATTATTTTCTTTAAAATTGCATTTTGCTAAGTCACCCACTTGTATTAGAGCAACCTTTTAATTAGGTTTTTATCATTCAATCCAGAGCCGATGCAAGGATTTTTGTCTCCACAGGCGAAGGAGCATTTTGCCCTCCTTCTCTCTCCCCCCTGCCCCCCCCCGTACATGTTTCTTGTGGTTTCTAAAATGTTTTAGAGGTGTGATAAATAGATAGATAGAAGGATAGATAGATAGATAGATAGAGATATAAACACACACACACACACTTTTTTTTTTATAGAGATAAAGCCCTTTAACTCTTATCGCACATTGCATCGGTTTTGCAATAGCTGTCATCCCTGCCCTGATTAGCTCAGCAATTTCAACATTTCTCCAGTGAGGAGCACTGAAGGGCTTTCTGCGCATGCGTAGCAGTCACCATGCTGTGCCAATCAACAGCTCTTTAGAGAGACATAATACTTGCTGGCCCTGCAACGATTACAGCAACATGATAAGAAAGGTCTGTAGTGACGGATTGATTGACAGCCACTAAAGATGTCCTTAGAAGCAAATGTAAACTCTGCCTTTTCTTAGGAAAGGCAATATTTACATTTGTCAGACTGCAGGGACAAGCTCTTTTCACCAAAACCACTCCATTATGTTATAGATAGTGGTTCTGGTGCTTAACGTTTTCCTTTAACTTTTTTTTTTTTTAAAGAAAAATAAGAACAAATTTGTGGTTTTGTAAAGTGTATTTTATAAACATTTATTCAACAGAACAAAAATCATAAAACAGAACAAAAATAATTAGCAATGAATTAAAGTGCATATGTACACTGCAGTAACTATTACTCAATCGGCATGACATAGTGCAACTAGTATCAAGGTGCTTTAAAATTAACAAATATAATTACTATAAATAACTTTTATACAATGAATAAAACTGTACGCTTTAGGTTTCTGCAAGTGCGAATTCACCTAAAGGGTAAAGTGCTTTTAACTGATATTGCACACAAACAAAGTGAGAATGGTAGCCTACAAAAACATAACCCTTCTTGCTTTCGCATTTACAAAATCATGAAGCAGAGTTTTAAGGTCAATCTCTTTTGCAATATAATTTTTTAATGGAAATCATTGCAAGTCCCACCAATCTCTCTTGAGACAGAGAACCGAAGATAATTCTTTATTAACTTCAGCTTTGAAAAGCTTTGCTCCCCAGAGGCAACAGATATCGGCAATGTCAACAATATACGAAGGGCAATACATCTGGTACATCTTTAAGTTTTTGCATATTATAAAAAAACTCTCTTGCTCCTGTTTTGCCGTGGGCATACGAGAGGGTCTGGCAGGATTGGTACAACTTGGTGGCGCATGTTGGGTCGATTAGGGGGTGGGGGATTGGCTTAATGTCTTTCTGGGGTTTCTGACTAATCATGTTTCATGTCAGCACTGGCCTTTCTCTTCAGGGCTGGGAGGACTTGGCCAAACACTTCTCGGAATTTCTCCATATTTGTTTCCAGGCAGATCAGCATTTAGCGCACAGGCCCCATATGCTTGTGATGTCATCCCTTCCTGAGTTAAAAGGAAGCTGCACCTGTTCTCAGCTCAGTCACTTTTGTTTGGTTTGTGCCTCCTTTGTTTGATGCACTTTCGCTTCGTACTACATGGTTTCCGTTTCTCTGCAGAACTCCTACCTGCTGAACCGCTGGCTTTGTTCCTGGCTATGCACCACTCAAAAACAGACTTAACTACGAATTCTTGCATCTCTTCACTCACTTCAAGGAACCATATTTAAATCATCACTGGAAAGGAAAGATAAGTTCTCCTATGATTGCAATTATTAATTAGTTCACTTAAGTTAAGTGGAACGATAAAGATTGCCTGTAGGATTCTACTTGTATATATCATTTGCCAAACTGCCATTACTACTGGAGTCTATAACTACAACTACTTCTCATACCAGGATATATTTGCATTGCCAAGTTCGGTTTCTTCTTACTAAGAGACTGTTACTTCTACTCTAGGATTCACCTGCTCTGGCAACCCTATTGAAGTCATATGGACTATATTGTTTGCTGCTGGAAAAAAAAACATTTCCTTATTTTTGTTTTGCAATTCAGAAACAAGTTTACAAACATTAATGCATTATTATTTCAAAACCTATATGTCTGGTAGGCAATCATTTGCATAAATAATTTAGACCACACAATAAACACAGACACAGTTCATTTTATTTTTCAATGGGCTTGGCCGTGGTGTTTATTAAAGCTTGAACATGGGGCAGACCACCATAACTTGATAACGGTAACATCTTCACAAACCTTTTCACTTGACTTCAAAATTTTTCACTTAACTTGAAAAACTTTTCCCTTTCACTTAATTGTCATTCAGTCCTAGCTAACCTGACCGCCTTTTATATACAACCATTTAACACATATCCTTCCTCAGAACTTGAACCTGAGGATGACTTTGCCCCACCGCCTCAGCTGTGGTAGCACTACCCCAGTTGAGGCCCCCCACAGCCAAGGCCCTTTCAATTATGTTTTGCA